GCAGCGGGCGTGACAGGAGAGGTCTGCCGCACCATGTGGGACCCTTGCCGGCCGGCCGGGATCAAACTGGCGCTGCAGAGGCTGCGGACAGCTTCACAGCACTGCGCTCAACCGCCTGCGCCACCAGGGAAGTCCCAATGTGTCGCTTTTTTTTTTTTTAAAGGTTTATTTTTATGTATGCATACAAGAGCTGGGGTGCAGGCCAGAGGTCCGCAGGGTGAGAGGATTCACCAGAGACAGAGTGGGGAACAGAACAGGCAGACTGACTGAAATACACTAATGCAGGGAGCAGTGGGTGAGACAGGAGAGGTCTGCTGCACCATTTGGGTAGCTCCCTGGCCGGGGATCGAACTCGTGCTGCAGTGGCTGCGGACAGCTTCATAGGTTGCGTCTTCATAGGTTGCGCCAGTTCGATCCCGGCCTGTCGGCGAGGGTCCCACATGGTGCAGTAGACCCCTTGCGCCACCAGGGAGGCCCTAGCTGTTGCTTTGGAAGTCAGTTTGGTAGCAAGTTGTAAGGGCCAGTTTCCACTCAGCCTGTGACCTGCTGTTTCCACTCTTAAGTATACATGAGAGAAGCCTCGTGTGTGTGCACAGAGAAGAAAGAACATCACATTTTCATTCATAGCAGCAACACCTAGAGATATGAAAATGCCCAGCAGTAGGAGACTAGGTCAATAAAATTGTTGTGTATTCATACAAAGGAATATTATTAACACATGAAAAACAATAGACATGTTCAATGAACCCAAGGAAGAACCTGAGGAGTATGATACTGGATAAAAAAGTAAGTCATTACAGGGCTTTTCTGGTGGTGCTAGGGGTTAAGATGCAGCACTATGAAGTTATCCGTAGCCACTGCAGCACGAGTTCAATCCCTTGGCTTGGGAGCTGACCCACTGGGCACAGCAGACCTCTTCTGACTCACCAGATGTTCCCATCAGCAGTGTATTTCAGTGGATCTGCCTGTTTGCTCCCCACCCTGCCTCTAGTGACTCCTCTTACCCTCCAGACCTCTGGCCTGTACCCCAGTTCTTGTATGCATAAATAAATCTTAAAAAAAAAGTAAGTCATTACAGTTTGATTCCATTTTTGATAGAGATAGCAACATCTCAAATTGTGTAATATATTTTTAAGACTAGCTGTCAATGTGAATGCACTATATGTAGAAATAGCTTCCAGGAGAGTGAACACCTAGTTTTGTGGGTGTGATGGGCAGGGGAACATGAGAAATGATAAATTAGTGATGAAAATGGTTGGTTGGTGTTACAGGTATGTGGATGTTGACTACATCAAAGAGAGTCATGTGTGGGCCAGTAAGGAAAGTAAATTAGGAGCCAAGGATTTTGGTAACTTCTGTGCATCTGAGTGTTTGTTGTTGAAGTCACATATGCATATGGTTTAAAGAAACAGAGTTTGGCCTCCCTGATGGCTCAGGGGGTTAAGGTGCAACCTATGAAGCTATCTGCAGCCTCTGCAGCATGAGTTCAAACCCTGGCCAGGGAGCTACCCACATGGCGTAGCAGACATCTCCTGACTCGCGCTGCTCCCCTCAGCAGTGTATTTCAGTCAGTTTGCCTGTTCTGTTCCCCACTCTGTCTCTGGTGAATCCTCTCACTCCCACACCTCTGGCCTATACCCCAGTTCTTATATGCATAAATAAATAAATCTTTTTTTAAAAAAAGAAACAGAGTTTACAAAGTTTTAATGCTTTTATGGCTATTTCTTTTATTTTTGCATACAAGAACTGGGGTTCAGGCCAGAGGTGGGGGTGCGTGAGAGGATTCACCAGAGACAGAGTGGGGAGCAGAACAGATCAATTGACTGAAATAACACTGCTGAGGGGAGCAGTGGGTGAGTCAGGAGAGGTCTGCTGCGCCATGTGGGTCACCTCCCTGGATGGGGATGGAACTTGTGCTGCAGTGGCTGCAGATTGCTTCATAGTGCTGACGCTTAACCACTTGTGCCACCAGGGAGACCCAGCTATTTCTTGATTTATTCAGTTTTAGACATTATCTGTTGACAGAACCCTATAGACTAGACTTAGTTCTTTTCTCTTTCCATCTCAGCCTCATGGGTTCTTCCTGTCCCACAAACTCCCATTATGCCAATAGAGTTATCTTATCATTTCTTTTTTTTTTTTTTAAAGATTTATTTATTTATTTATACAAGCACTGGGTACAGTCAGAAGCACAGGATGGCGAGAGAATTCACCAGAGCCGGGAGCAGAGCAGGCAGAAGGACCGAAGTACACTGCTGAGGGGAGCAGTGGGTGGCAGGAGAGGTCTGCGCGCCATGTGGGACCCTCCTCTGGTGGCCGGGGAGCAGCCGGGGATCGAACCGGTGCTGCAGAGGCTGCGGGCAGCTTCGCAACCCAGCGCTCAACTGCTGCGCCACTGGGGAGGCCCTATCTTATCATTTCTTTACAGAGGTGGATTACCATGTAAAGAACACACAGGCTGACAAGTGGAGAGCACCAGGTCACAGGCAATGATGGGTAAACAAGAAAAGCACACAGAATCACAGGGAGACAGGGAAGGACAGGGAAAGAATCACAGGTCATATATGAGCTGGAAAATACATACAAATATTATTTGGATACAAAGGGCACTCAGTGAGACTGATTGATGAGGTCACACACAAAGACACAACAAACATCAAACAATCACAGAGACAGATGCAGATGACATACAAGGCTGACAGGTGGGCACTGCAGGCAAATTAGGGAGGAAGTCAGGTGCGACTCCTATCAGTGAAGGGGCCTGAGATGTTACTGGTTCCTGTTAACTAGAAATAAAGTGTCAGTGGTAGTCAAAGTATTTATTAGATAATCAAAGTGGGGACTTACAGATTTTACTCTGTGAGAACTGTTCCAATAAACATAGTTAACATGTTGAATTTATTTTATGTAGGTAGGAACAGGGAGTAACTGACAGGAAGAATGTACCTACTTATTTTTTTTTAACATAAATTAACCCATTTATTATAGGCTGGCAATGTTCCAAATTATAGAATTTCTGCTGGTCTTTCAATTCCTTCAGTCTTCTGATGGCAGACTTTACTGTGACAGCAGAAGTGGTGGTTGTAGGTCTAGGCACTACCACTCACTGTTTTCATGCAGGAACCACAGTGCCAGATCCCCACAGCTCGCCTCTTCATCTTTTTTTTTTTTTTTAAGATTTATTTTTATTTATACGAGAATCGGGGTACAGGCCAGATGTGTTGGGGTGGGGCGGGGTGAGAGGATTTACCAGAGACAGAGTGGGGAACAGAACAGGCAGATCGATGGAAATACACTGCTGAGGGGAGCAGTGGGCAAGACAGGCAAGGTCTGCCACACCATGTGGGTATCTCCCCAGCCTCTGGGATGGAACACGTGCTGCAGAGACTGCGGATAGCTTCACAGAGCTGCACTCAACCGCCTGTGCCGACAGGGAGCTACCTACTTGAAGTCAGGTGGCTTCAAAAGGTTTTGGTTTTGCCACAAAAGGAGCAAGTGTATTTGGCGTGCTGGCTGATTTCAATTTTCTTCACCATTTTCCTAAGGGAGGCACCATAACGGGTCCCATATTTACCGACGATCCCCACCTTCTTGGTTCGTTTGGCCATGTCGCTGTAAACTAGGTGAGCACCCAGAGAGGTGTATTTACTCTTGAGAGGTGGGGCTTTTGTTTGAAGTTGTCCCAACCTAAAGATATCCTGATACTTGAGGAAAGCAATGCAGGGTTTAATCGCTTCCTTTCTAAAGAATGCACTGCAGACAGGCAAAGGCTGGATACCCATTGCTAAAATCTCTGTATCTGGATCCAAGGTCATCAGTGGACATGAAGATTGCCTTTAGTGCTACCTACTTTTCAGGTAGCAGAGTTCCTGCAAAAGCTACAAAATGGTGCCTGCTCACATTTAAGTCTATGAAGATGGCTTTGCTCTTATGCCTACTGAGGTGGTGGGGAGGTGGGGAGTACAGGGGATATCCCTAGAGAATTTACGATATGTTCACACCCCTTTACTCCACTGCCTGAGAGAAAGGGACTGACTTCAAGTAGGCAGCTCTGACTTTAAAGCCCATCTTTTTTTTTTTTTTTTTTATTAATGCATACCAGACTTGGGGTACAGGCCAGAGGTGTGTGTGGAACATGGGGTGGGGGTAGAGGATTTACCAGTAGGGAGCAGAACAGGCAGACTGACTGAAATACACTGCTGAGGGGAGCAGCTTAGTCAGGAGAGGTCTGCTGCGCCATGTGGGTAGCTCCCTGGCCGGGGATGGAACTCGTGCTGCAGTAGCTGTGGATAGCTTCATAGGTTGTGTCTTAACAACCTCCCCCCACCCCACCTTGCGCCACCAGGGAGGCCCGCCCTGCCCATCTTAATGTCCCCCTATATGCTTCACGGAGGAGGTCAGCCTCCTCTGTTATAGCACATTTAATTACATCACATTAAATTAAATGTGTAGGGCCTCCCGGTGGCGCAGCGGTTGAGCGCTGTGTTGCGAAGCTGCCCGCAGCCTCTGCAGCGCCGGTTCGATCCCCGGCTGCTCCCCGGCCACCGGAGGAGGGTCCCGCATGGCGCGCAGACCTCTCCTGCCGCCCGCTGCTCCCCTCAGCAGTGTACTTCGGTCCTTCTGCCTGCTCTGCTCCCCGCTCTGGCTCTGGTGGATTCTCTTACCCTTCCGCGCTTCTGACTGTACCCAGTGCTTGTATAAACAAACAAACAAACAAATAAATAAATAAATCTTTGAAAATAAATAAATAAATTAATTAAATGTGTAGATATAGGTAGGTGTAAAGAATAGACCTAAAGTCTCACTTCATTCTGGTTTGCAGCACAATTTTGTTCAGGTCTCTCAGGCCCTGAATCCTTTCGGGTGTTTATTCAATATCCCAAAGGCGCTCCATCAGTTCATTGACAGATTACTTTCCCTTTAAACTATTTTCCTCAATCCGCCACCTTCCCAGACTCCCTCTCATTCCCGATAGCACTTGCAGTTTCTAAGGGCACTACATCTCCCATAAGTCTTAGCGCCCAGGAGGCCGCCCTAGGGAACTTCAAGTACCGAAATGCTCTCCAACCCGGCTCAGTGACTACCGCCGTGACTGATGGGTCTTGTAGTCACACAGAAATTGTCAGATGACTCAAAAAACTACTCATCCCAGGAGTACTCGGGTCAGAGGCGGGTTTCTCTCCTGTCTTTCTGCGCGCTCCTTCAGTCTTCCCTGGACTCCATCTCCCGCCATGCCTTGCGCTAAACTCCCAGTGGCGGAGAATGGGGCCGTGGCCAAAGTGTTCTCTGGGAGTCGTAGTTCCAACATTAGTGAGGCGAGGAGAAGGCGGAGTGACTCGGCGGCCATTAGCTGTGTGTAGTTGCCCGGGACTAGGAGCATAAGTGAAGAGGGAAGCCTTATTCTGTGGAAATCAACCGTGGCTATGGGCTCCTGCCGGCGCTAGCCCTAGAGTACGGGGAAGGCAGACTTTTCGGTGTCCCGCCCCGCCCAGTGGCGGGGCCCACTAGGCCTCCGGGCATCCTCGGTCTCAAGTAGGCCTCATCTGCCGGCAAGGGCGCCCCAAAGGCGGGAGGCGCCATGTCGCTGGTTGCTTACGCCAGCAGCGATGAGAGTGAGCCGGATGAGGCTGAGCCGGAGCCGGAGCCGGAGCCGGAGGAGGAGGACGAGGAGGACGTGGCGGTCCCTACATCTGGGCCCACTTTAGGGGGCTTGTTCGCTTCTCTTCCTGCACCCAAGGGTCAGGCCTTGCTGCCTCCGCCCCCCCAGATACTAGCCCCAGCTTTCCCCCCGCCGCTGTTGTTGCCCCCACCAACTGGAGACCCCCGGCTCCAGCCTCCTCCCCCCTTGCCCTTCGGTCTGGGGGGCTTCCCCCCACCTCCAGGCGTGAGCCCAGCTGAAGCGGCGGGAGTTGGGGAGGGGCTGGGATTGGGGCTGCCCTCGCCCCGAGGCCCTGGCCTCAGTCTGCCCCCTCCTATCGGCGGTGCCGGCCCCCCCCTGGGGCTTCCCAAGCCAAAGAAGAGGACAGAGCCCGTGAAGATAGCGGCACCGGAGCTGCATAAAGGGGATGTGAGTATCCGGGGAGGGTACCCCCGAACTGTCCACCGGGTTTGGGCATGGGCACCGCTCTAGGAGGGACTTGTGAAGAATCCAGAACTCCATCCATTGATTGCTAACCTCGGATTCCTGGTACAGTGTGATGCATTAATCTGAATGAAGTTGGTCAACTCTGGGTAGCCAGGTGTTTGTCCATGCAGGTTTCTTGAAGCTGGACTCTGCAGAAGGGCCACCCACATGCCATCACCCGGCACTGACAGACCCAGGCCTAGGGTTCGTGGTACCCGCTACTTTTTTTCACATCTTTCCCTCAGATTGACGTTACCCCCTCTTTTAATCTGAGGACAGGATAAAACTTGCACCTGTAGGAGTGACAGGAGACAGGACTTCTGAGCCCTTGTCAAACTTTTGGGACTAACCTTTCCTTTGCCTCTGAACTTAAATGCCTCAGAACTGACGAATCCTGGATTCTACTTTTGAGGGGAGTTAGGAAAGATATTGCATATTTGTTAAGTGCACATCATTTGGCAGGCGTTGGCCTTTTCCTTCAATTTCTACAGAACTCTGGGAGAGAACATACTAGTTTTTACAAATTAGAAATAGCTGTCCAGCATGGACGTGCTCACCTGATTAGGGACTGATGAAAATTCAGAGCGGTCTCTCTCTGGACTTTAGGCCTGTGGCTCTCACTGTGTAGGGATTGGTAAGCCTGGGTGAGTTGGGATGCTTGGCTACTATTTCTACAACAGGCACCCAAGCAGAACACAGAGGGCCTTTTCTGGAGTGGGTTCTTTGGGGATAAAGGAGGCCTTCAGCTGAGGGTCAGGTAGTGTTTTAGAGTTATCTGGGAGTTTTCTTCTGGGAAGTTATTTAGTCAATTCCTAGCTTATCTTTGGTAGCCCTCTGAAAGAAGCTTATTCTTTCTTAATGCTTTTCTTCAGACTTTCACTTCTGCATGGGGACTATTGCCATTCTGTGCACTTGATCTGTCTCTTAGTTTTTTCCAGATAACCAAATATTCTCCTCCTCACCTCTTTCAAGTTTTGATTTAAAAGACTTGTTCTCAATCAGAACTTCCTAACCTACATAGTTTGTGTTTTATTTTTATATTTTTTTGTAGCCTATGTAAATTGCAACCTCTTACCTCTTTCTCATCCCCCTTTGCTTTTTCTCCATAGCACTTCCCACCATCTAATCTACCATCTATCTTATTTGTCTCTCCTTCCACAAGTATACAGGCCCCACAATTGCAGGGTGTATTGTTTATTCACCACCCTATCCCTAGTGGTCAAAACACTGCCTGGCTCACATTGGCTCCAACCTTCTGATTCAGTATATTCTGAGTGAATGAAGTCAAGTGAACATGGATTCTTCATGGAAGGAGGTTCCAGAATTTTCCTCACTCTCCTGTTCCAGACTTTTCTCCTGTGTCATGTCCTCTTCCTTTCACACCTGAGTCTGTCATTTCCAAGGCTAGGATCTCAAAAACCTTTCTGTTGCTGAAACTTAGTTTGACTTTGATTTAACCTGGAACATAGGAAGGTCCCTGCATGAGACAAAGGAAAGTAGGTTCATTTTCTTAGAATTCTCCCCCTCTTCTCTACACTTTTTCTCCCCAAACCTTTATCTCAGTCTGATTGTGATACATGGGGGAGGTGGCACTGAGCCAGCCCACCTCCTTCCACAATGACGGTGGAAAGACTCATTTCTAGGTGGCTGAAGGTAGCATTAGAAAGAGTGGCTGGGAGAGCCTGTGTAGAATCTTCCAGTTAGACTGGCTGAAGTGATGGGAAATCCTGAGGACTCCTAACTCTAGTCCTCCTTTGTAAGTATAATTCACTTAACATTTCTGAAGTGAACAGTGATGTGGATTATTAAAATAAAGCCAAATCTTCACTCAGCTGGTTCAGTTTCCCATTTACATTCTTTTCAAGTTATCATTTTTGTTTTCTGACATAATTCCTGGGGAAAGGAAGCCTAAGAGAGTTCAGGTTGATTTAGGTGAGGGAGACCTTTTTCTTTAACATAATTGTGCCCCCTCCAATTCTGTGTTCTCCGAGCTCTGTGTCTCACACTTAGTAGGCTCTCAGTACAGTTTGAAGGAATGAATTAAAAAATTTCCTTTTAGGATTTGGTGCTGAAGTGCAAGTAATTAACTGAATTCATTCATTTGTGCATTCAATAATGAGCTGCTGCTCTCTGCCAGGAGCTAAGACCAAGGTAGTGAACTTGACAGACCTTGCCCAAAAGGAGTTGATGATCTGTTGGAGGAGACAGGCAGGAAATAGATTTTAGGTCTAGTCAGAGAAGAACTGGTGGTAGAGCTGGTGCCTTGGGAGCACACCTAGTGGCACTGATCAGTCCAGAGGTCGGGGAGACTTCCAAGAGGAGAGAAGACATATAAGACAGATGAGTAGGAGGAAGCCTGGGGAAGGTGGGGTGAAGTGGGGAGAAGCACATCAGGCAGAGGGAACAAAATGTATTGAACCCCAGAGGTGAGAAAAGAAAATGCTTTTGGGAAACCTCAGGCAAGTGAAGCAGAATGATTGGGACACAAGGCGGGCAGTGGAGAGTGATGGGAGATGGGGCTGGAGAGAGAGAGAAGCTGAGGCCAGGGTATAATGAGCCCTGGATGCCAAGCTTTGTGAATAATTCAGGGGTAGTGAAAAATCAAGAATTCTGTGGAGCCTCCCTGGTGGCACAAGGGGTTAAGCACCGCACTGTGAAGCAATTCGCAGCCTCTGCAGCACGAGTTCGATCCCTGTCTGGCCAGGGAGCAACCCACATGCGCAGCAGACCTCTTCTGTCTCGCCCACTACTCCCCTCAGCAGTGTATTTCAGTCACTCTGCCTGTTCTCTTCCCCACTCTATCTCTGGTGAATCCCCTCACCCCAACCCCCCCCAATCTCTGGCCTATACCCCGGCTTTTGTATGCATAAATAAATAAATCTTAAAAAAAAAAAAATTCTCTGATCACAGAGTGGTGAGAGACCCAGGGGGAGCAAGACTGGCAGAGCCACAGTGGGAGAGATGATGGCAACTTGGGTGAGGGAGTGGCAGGGAATGAGAACTGGAGGCTCCAGGTCCACCTCTCCAGGAGGCAGAAGTGACAAAACTAGGGGATGTCATAGGTGAAGGAGAGGCTTCAGGTAGACCCCCTGTGGGCTCAGGCAGTTGGGAGGGTAGTTAGTACCTTTAGTGAAGATAGAGGCATTGCTGATTGGGAATTTGTTAGATATTATTGATTGCAGGTATCAGAAACCAACTTCAGCTGGTTTAAATGTTAATGCATTTTTTAAAAAGATTTATTTATTTATGCATACAAGAACTGGGGTACAGGCCAGAGGTGTGTGGTGGGGGGCGGTGGGGAACAGAACAGGCAGATGTACTGAAATACACTGCTGAGGGGAGCAGCAAGCGAGATAGGAGAGGTCTGCTGCGCCATGTGGATAGCTCCCTGGCCAGCCCGGGGTTGAACTCGGTGCTGCAGAGGCTGCGGACAGCTTCACAGTGCTGTGCTTAACCCCTTGTGCCACCAGGGAGGCCTTAAATGTTAATGCATCTTACAGATACTGAGGTACCTTGGGAAGGACCTGTAATCAGGAATTAGGGATCTGTCAGGGACCCACACAGCCTCTCTGCTCATGGAATTATTCTTTCACTGCAGACCAGTTTCCTCTGCTTCTTAACCTTCGTTGGTGCTGAAAGATGGCCACCCACACTCTTTTGGTTTTTATAATTTTTGTTTATTGCATTTTGAAGGACAGGTTTATTAGGAAAAGGAGAAAAAGAGAGGCACCTGCATAGTCACAGTCAGGTCGGGGAGCTTCAAGTGCATTGCAGAATCATAATTAGTCAGCTTTTGATTTATGTGAGGAATTAGCAGTGATCCACACAATGAATAATTGGCCCCTCCTTTTCTTTCATTTATTTATTTATTTATTTATGCCTACAAGAACGGGGTACAGGCCAGAAATGTGGGGGGGTGAGGGGATTCACCAGAGACAGTGGGGAGCAGAACAGGTGGATCTACTGAAATCACTGCTGAGGGGAGCAGCAGGCGACACAGGAGAGGTCTGCTGCACCATGTGGGTCAGCTCCCTGGGCAAGGATTGAACTCATGCTGCAGTGGCTGCCAATAGTTTCATAGTGCTGCGTCTTAACCCCTTGTGCCACCAGGGAGGCCCTCCATTCTTTTCTTGTTGCCCACATCCAACCTACCTCCTAATACATTGGTCAGTTATCTATTTCACGGGCTTAGGGTATGCAGACTTCTAAAATTAGGAATACAAAAAAAGAAAAAAGTAAGTGCTGTAAGAGCTTTTTGTCATTTAGCATGCATCCCAAAGCAAATAGGAGTTTTAGATGATCAGAATTAGTATTGCGCGGGCTTAGATTGTTTACCCAGAAATCTTGAATTTGAAAATTTCGCTAATTTTGGTCATTTCTATTAAGTTATTAAGAGTTGACTGTGGTGGATATAGCTAAGTTTTAGCCCTTGATGGCAAGAGAAAAGAGCTTTCACTGCCATTTGTGGGGTGCCTGCTTAGTGTTTAACCCTGTGCTGGACACTTCAGTGACTAAGCTGAGGGGTCACTCTGGCTTACAGGGAGGATATAGTTTAGAGAACGGGGCAGTTTGCCCAAGTTGTAGCTCAAGTTGGATTTGAGCTCACCCAGGTGAGGTGTTCTGCTAAAAAGCCTGCTAAAAAGAAGCTCCATGGACACCCGGAAATATGAAAGCAATACAATGAGGAGTACAGAGATGGGAGAGAATGGTGTCCACACTGAAGGGTAGATGAGAGCAGAAGATCTTTGAGACTAAGGAGTAAAAGAAGTTAATGAATCTAGCTAATTGCGATAAAAGCAGAGAGGAGTGCCGCAGTGATTAGAGTTTGAAGCCTGAGGAGGGGTGTCTGTTCTTAGGTACTTATTTCCTTCTTGGCTCCTGGCCCTGGCAACTAGTGATTGCTTTTTGGAGAGGGAGTCTGTCAGAACTAGAGTCTGGGAAGA